GAGTAGGAATAACAGCAGACCCTACCAAGATTGAAGCCATGGTTACTTGGCCAAAACCCCAGAATTTAAAGGAGTTGAGAGGGTTTTTGGGGTTAACTGGCTATTACAGAAAATTTGTAAAGGGGTACAGTAAAATTGCAGCACCCCTTACACAACTCCTAAAGAAAGACAGTTTTCAGTGGGGAGAACAAGCTACACAATCTTTTGATGAGTTAAAAAGAACCATGACTTCACTCCCAGTCCTAGCTACACCTAACTTCAATAAAACATTCATTCTGGAGACTGATGCTTCTGGAACTGGGTTAGGTGCAGTTCTCATGCAAGAAGGCAGACCTGTGGCTTTTATGAGCAAGATATTATCTAAAAGAAACCAAAACAGATCAGTTTATGAAAGAGAGCTCTTGGCTATTGTGTTAGCAGTACAGAAGTGGAGACCCTATTTGTTGGGAAGAACTTTTGAGATTGTAACTGACCAAAAGAGTTTGAAGTTTCTGACAGAGCAAAGATTAATGGGTGAAGAACAACAGAAGTGGACTTCTAAGTTGTTGGGGTACAATTTCATCATCAGATATAGACCTGGGGTAGAAAACAAAGCTGTTGATGCTCTCTCTAGAAGACCTATGCTCCAGTCTCTTTCAATTGTGACATGTCAAGAATGGGATGGATTGGAAGAAGAATTGAAGGCTGACATCAAATGTGCAGAGTTGTTTCAGAAGGTGATTTCTTATCCAGATCAATATTCAGAATTTCAGATCATTAAGGGTTTGTTATATTATAACAAGAGACTAGTTCTACCTCAAGGATCACCCAGAATCATAAAGATCATGAGGGAATATCATGAAACTGCCATGGGAGGACATTCAGGATATTTTAGAACCATGAAGAGAGTATCCAGTCTTTTCTTTTGGCAAGGTATGAGGAAGGATATAAAGAAGTGGGTGGAAGAATGTGTGGTTTGTCAGACTAATAAATATCAAGCTTTGAAGCCTGCAGGACTACTACAACCGCTTCCTATACCAAATAGCAGTTGGACTGACATTAGCATGGATTTCATTGGAGGATTACCCAAATCACAAGGGAAGGATACTATACTTGTGGTTGTGGACAGATTAACTAAATATGCTCACTTTATTGCTTTGTCACATCCCTAGAATGCTAAGGAGGTAGCTGATGTGTTCATTAAAGAAGTGGTCAGATTACATGGGTTCCCTAAACCTATAGTCAGTGACAGAGATAGTGTTTTCCTCAGTGTTTTTTGGTCTGAACTATTCAAATTGGCTGGGATACAATTGAAGTACAGTACAGCTTATCATCCTTAGACTGATGGTCAGACTGAGGTGGTTAACAGATGCTTGGAAACTTATCTCAGGTGTTTAAGAGGAAGAAAACCAAAAAAATGGCTTAATTAGAGGAGATGTTACAGTAATTAGAGGAGATGTTACAGTTACTGCAGTAGAAGAAGTTTCAAAACTGACTGCTCAGAGGAATATAATATTAGATGAGTTGAAAGAGAATTTGGCCAAAGCTCAGAATCAGATGAGGCAGCAGGCCAATAAACACAGGAGAGAGGTTACATTGGAGATAGGGGATCAGGTTTATCTGAAAATTCAACCTTATAAGCTGAGGAGTTTAGCTAAGAGGATGAACCAAAAATTAAGCCCAAGATTTTATGGTCCATTTCAGATTATTGAAAAACTCAGTTCTGTGGCTTTTAAACTGCAGTTGCCAGAAGATTGCAAAATTCATCCTGTGTTTCATATATCTTTGTTAAAAAAAGCTATATCATCTACTACCTACTTTCAACCTCTACCTAAGTGTCTGAATGAAGAATGGGAGTTACAGGTTGTGCCAGAAGAAATTTTGGACACAAGGGTTGATGCAAATGGTAATTGGGAACTGCTGGTTCATTGGAGCAATCTGCCACAATTTGAAGATTCTTGGGAGTCAATGAAAATGATCAAAGAACAATTTCCAGAGTTTCACCTTGAGGACAAGGTGAATTTCCAGGGGGGAGTATTGTTAGACATGCAGCAAGGCAGTCGGTGGAATTTTATAATAAAGTGTATAAAAGAAGAGTTAATAGGGATGCTGCTATTAACTAATAACTAACGGGTTAGTTAGTTAGTTATTGTCCCTGCGTGGACATTACTATAAATAGAAGGGCACAGCTAGCTGAAGGTAGTATTTAGACTCTTGGCTAGAACAGGACTGGGAGATTAGGCATCTCGAATTGTCTACAGTTTGTATAATCTGATCTGGTGAATAAAGTGTGTGAACTGTGTGTTGTTCTTGAACAATTCTGTATTCGATAGTGCATGATCTATCAGTACCTTAAAGGCCGGTGAATCTGGGAGGTGACTGCACATAGTAGACACTCTCAGCTTATGAAAAAGCTTGCTGCCATAAAGGACCTACTAGTCACTCATTTCCAAGGACCTAATGAAACAACAAGAGGATTGAAAAAACTTTGCAATGATGGCAGACTGTCTTCTGTAGAAGTTAATGATATTTTGAGGGTGAATGGCGGGAGGAGAACCTGGATGCCATTCATTTGGAGACACTTCATCCCACCTAAATATTCTTTCATCACGTGGCTTGTGTTTAGGAACAGACTAGCTACTTTGGACAACCTGGAGTATTTGAATCTTGGAAATATTTGTTTTCTTTGTAACCGAGAACCTGAATGTGTGGCCCATCTTTTCTTTGCTTGCCCTTATTCTACAGGTATTTGGATGGACATACGTAAATGGCTGGGCATTCGAAGAGAGATGAACACTCTATCAAGCTCGATTAAGTGGATTAGAAAGGAGCACCGGGGGCTCGGATTTACAATAAGGCTATCTGTATAGCCTTTTGTTGCACCATCTATACGATCTGGAGATCACGTAACTCAGCATGCTTCGATCATCTTCTTTTCCAACCCCAGGAAGTTCTAGGTAAAATCAAGGTGGTAGTTTATCGAATCATGTTCAGCCTATATCCTACCACTGCTTTTTATTTCTAGAATCTGCTTTTGGAGGTTTTTTCTTTTATTGGGCTGGTTGTATTCTTGATTTTTGATTTGGTATCTGATTATGGAAGGTTGTGGACTGTTTAGGCTATTTGTTTTAGTTACAGTAAGGGGCCTGTCCCTTGCTGTTTGGTTTGTGGCTGCTATTTGCGGGTAAGGCAATGTGTCTGCCTTATGCCCGCAATTTGCTGTTTTGTTTTTTCTTTGAGCAGGGGTATGCCCAGGTGATTTTGTATGTTACAATTTTGAATGAGTCAACATGTACATTTTACCCGAGAAATTTAAGAACATGTAAAGAAAATATATCTCATATCTCTCTCGCCAAAATTCCAAACCAAACAGGGGCCTACCGGCTACGTACTCACCTCAACAATGATGCTTTTACTTCTTTCCATATGCCTTAAGTCTTTGATGGGTTAACTTCAGGTTTGCTTGGTGAAGCTTTATCCTTTTCTTCCTGGACAAACTTCTTGTATCATCACCGCCATTTTCTGTGGAATTTACCACCTTATAAGTTACTGTCTCACTTGGCCACTTTTTCTTCTTTTCATTCTTTATAACGTTTGATTTCTGCACACTCGAGTAATAACTCTTTAAGTTTCTGCTTCTGATGGTATCTCTTATTACGTGGGACCTTCCACTCTTTTTCCCTATATGGAGCCAATGTCTTCAGAGGCACATATTGATTCAAATCCTTGTCATCCAACATTATGATGTCCTCTGTTTTCAATCCGACCTTTTCGGGTTAATAGGTTTATACTTAAACCTAGTCTTTAGGTCTCCTATAACATCCTCATAGTCTAACTTGTAATATTCATCCATTAATTGGTCCTTAGCAGCCTGCATTGCATCTGTATTTGTTCCTCCATCATCATCTTCATCATCATAAACCCCACCCCTCATATAATTTCTTTCCCGAACGGATAAAACCATATCTCGTGGGTCGTTTGTTTCTTCCCAACCGGTTGGAAGCGCGAGTAATTCGTCCTCGTCAAAATCTGGCTTTTCAAGATCTTCATCACCATCACTCACAAAATTGGGATCAATGTCATCTTCATTATAGTAATCATCTCCAAATGTTCTGTTCATCTTTGTATCATACTCCTTAGGATTGGATTAGTCTTCGAGATCATCCTCATCTAGCACACAATCCACATCATTTTTTATCCCGCCGATCTCTTTAATATTTTGAAGTTTCTCATTCATCTCTTCTTCTTCAAATTCTTAAATCACTTCAACTCCTCTTTTTTTCCTCTTCCTCCCTTGCCATCCTCTCTTCCTTTCCCTCCTTTTGCAACTTCCTTGCATTTGTTTTTTTCTAACCGAACCATCCACTTTCCTTGAGTACCCCAAAACCCTATCACCGACATTCTATTCAAACCTAAAATTAAATTCCCTCTCATAATCCTCCTGCTTCTCAATTGCTTCCTCGTTCTGTGATACTATTGACTCTTCATCGTCATCCACTTTCCGGCCCTTATCATCATTATCTAACCACATTTTATTACGAAAGATACATTTCAAAAACCAGTTGTTCTCATCTAACTTGTCATCCTCCCCGAAATACTCCTCTAACTTCTTGGAAAACTGTCCATCATCAGCATCCTCGTCATCAACGCATCCTATCTTCCCACTCCATTTAACCTTTAAAAAGTCATCCCCATCATCAGCTTCCATCTCCATCTTCTTCACTGCATCCAAGAACCCCTTCCTGAGCTCCTTTGAATATGTCTTCAGCTTCTTCTTATCCTCTTCTTCACTTCATCATCAAATTCCGGTCCCTCCTCCATCAAATGCCTTGACACTAAATCTTTTAAATACATTGGCTTTTTCCTATCATTGGCTTTCTTATTGTGATTGGACTCGGAATCAGGGTCAGATTCAGAGTCCACATCAAATAGTTTTGCATATTTGTTTTGCAAGGTAGGATCTTTCCTTCTGAGCTTAATCAGAGCATTGAAAAACTCAGTGTCGTTCTTATTAATTGGCTTACCAAAACTATCACCGTCGTGTTCATCTTCAGGCTCCTCATCTTCTTCAACTCTTCGAATATCTGAAGGTCTTCTCTCTTCTTGTTATGCTCGATCCGGCGAGCAAACTCCTCATTCATCTTTATTTTGCTCAGCTCTACATCATCATCATCATCCTCGTTTTCGAACAACTTCATACCTAATTTCATACTCTGTATAACATAAAGAAGAAAATAAACTACAACTTTGAGGAATAAAATCACACCATTTCTTCGTTGAACCAAGCCCTTCAACTACAAAATTAATTGAGGATGGAGCATAGAAAAATAACTTAGGAAATCGTATAAGAAAGAACATCGTACAATCCTGTAGAAAAAGAGGGACCAGATTATAAGAGAGGCCGCTTGTGAAATAATAATGGGCCGCGAGTCTGGGAACTGGGAAGAATCAGAATCGCAGGCGGCAGGTCCACTGTGAATGGGTAGGGCCGGGGAGCCGGGAACCGGTCGGGAGGCGGCCAAGAATCGCAGGTTCGCGACTGTCGCTGTGTCGAAGTCGGTCGGCTTGGCGGTCGGCTTCCCAATTTCCGTGTCGAACTTCCGTCGGTGTCTGAGAGTATGAGACGATGACTTGCCAAGTGGCCTGTGGGCTGTGGTCGTTTAACACTTCTGAGCTGGGCTTCTGCGTTCGTAAGGTTTCGGAGCGTTGGGACGCTTCCTGGGCCGGGTGTAATGGTTAGATTACGCATGAAATTAGGCCTTAAATGGGCCCCGCCCCTGTCGCATAGGACCGCCCCTGTGGGCCCTGTCCTTGAGTTTTTTTATGCTATCACATAGTCCATTCACTCTATTTCTTGAAAATAATATTGGACTTTTGTTATTCATACACACACACCACATTTATTCAATTTCTAAGATTATTATCATTAATGAGACATTCTCTCTCTAGGGTTATCGCCGCCGGTAATGCCTAGCGTCCGTCTTTCGCCACCGGCACTTACAGGGGTCTCTGCCGCTGCTGGTAAGCCGGTTGGAGAGAGGGGCTTTATTCTACGAGTTTTAGTGTGAAACTTCACGTTGTTTTCTTGCGCGTGCGAGCTTCTCTGATTTACTTGACGAAAGATTTACGAAGAAACGGATCTCCATCTTCGATGATTTCCACGAACCAGTTGGAGGTGAAAGTGACCAGTGTTAATCCCGAGAGGAACTAAGGCAGAAGGGTTGTGCATGGAAGGTGTTGTTGATAAATATAGAAGAATGGCGCTCGAGGAAGAGGAGGAGGATTTGGATCTTGACGACACAGAGTCAGAGGAATCGCCGGTGGAAGGAAACACGCAGGGTTTTCCGGTAATAGGAGTTCTGTTGACAGACCGCAAGGTCAGATTTCCGGCTATCAAAGAGCTTATGGCTTCGTTATGAAGGTCGGACAAAGGTCTCGCGGTCAAAGAAATCAGGGAAAAAAGGTATTTGTTTACTTTCTATCATCGTGTGGATATGAATTGTGTTCTAGAGGGAGGACCCTGGCAATTTCAACGGAATCTGTTGTTATTAAAAGAAGTAAGACCTGATGATATTCCTCATAAAATTGTTTTGAATGAGGCAGATTTTTGGGTTCAAAACCACAATGTTCCCTATAGTCTTGTCAATTTAGGTACTGCCAGAAGGATAGGAAATTTTATAGGAAAATTTATAAGATATGATGATAATCAAAATAGTGATAAATGGGAGGCCTATATCAGAATAAGAGTTGCTTGAATGTGGAGAAGACCCTGAAAGGAGGTACTAATCTGAAAAAGGATGGTAAGAGTTATTGGGTGAACTTGAGATATGAAAAGTTACCCAACTTCTGTTTTATTTGCGGGTTAATTGGACATTCAGATAAATTCTGCCATTTAAACTATGAAGAAGGTCTGGTTCTGGAAAAGAAATATGGAGTCCAGCTTAGAGCTGGTAGCGGGGGGAAGACGGGTCCTACAGAGGGAAATCACACTACTACATTTTCGGGCCTAATGTAACATTATTTTTGTAACAGTTAGTAAAAACGTTACATTAAGTTCATCTATTGTAATGGTTATATATCATTTGGTTCATTTGCGTAACTATTGTTACATATTGTTACATTTGGTTCATCTATTGTAATGGTTATATATCATTTGCTTCATTTTTGTAACTCCTGTTACATACTGTTACATTTAATGTGTTTCTAATGTAACACTATTTTATATATATACAGACGTTTGTTTAAAAAATGTTACACTTTTTGGTAGATTAAGGTTATACTTTAAGAAAAAAAATTAGCGCTATATATCAAATACATTTGGTAAACGCTAACCTAACACTGGTGTTATACAAAAAATTTACTAAAATTAAGGTTTCCGTCATTTTTTATGCGATGAAAAAGCATTAAAACACGACGTTAAGCGGCAAAACAAATTTCCTGAAACATACTAGGTAAAACATTTTTCATAGAAGAATCAACTTCCATAAAGCAATCTCCAAAATCTTCTGGTCTTCCAATATACTACGTAGTTCCACTAGGGTATTCCGCCCCAATATAGTTCCTCTAGGGTGTTCCGCTGACCCTGGATCTTAGGGAAACAAAGGGTGGGGGCCTGCTCGTCGAAGGGAGATGTCGATGTATGTGTATGGCAATGATTTCAAGCATAAGGACATTTGGGGATCTCAATGACCGACTGCATTGTTGTTTCCCTGACTTTTCAAACTCTGGAGATCCTACGACGAGGGACTAGGCTGCACCGGAGAATGGATGGAGCGCAGATTCGACTTAGATTCTGGGAAAATAAGAGATCTGGGGCGCCTAATCGGACGGACTCATAGCGTAATTAAGCCAAAGGCAGAACCAAATCCAACCTTTACTGCTTCTTATCGAGAGGGAGAGAAGAGGAGTTGGCGACCCCGGCTATAGCGAGATTGCATCTCTGAATCGAATCGACGGCTTGACTGTTGGAGTGGCAGAGGGGGTGCCGGAACTTGCTGGAGAAAGGCAAAGAACTCCCTTTAACTGGGAGGGAACCCGTGCTTGCTGATAGAGACTCAAATCGGAAACCATGGCTGGAGACGCCCGTGAGGTAAGGAAGCTTCTGGAAATGAACATGATTGTTATAGTTTCATTCTCAAACATAATAGTATATGCACCAAAATAGGCAACGAGTTGATTACAGTTGATTTTATGTGGTGATTTCATATATTCCTATGCTATTTAGGCTTGTCTAGAATCAACCTCATTGATTTTATCTGTTTAATGCAGTCTTGTGTTTACTCTCTGCATTCGTGGAGATTTCTTTATGCATCTTCCATGGATAAATTGAGTTTCAAGAAGGCTAAGAACAATCATAACTCCAACCATATGTTGCTTCTGCACAAGAGGTGCTCGAAAAAATGTCTGAACTACAAAAGTTGTATTTTCTTCCTCTTTTATGATTTGGTTAAAGATGTTATTGTGTTCATTGCAACATGCAGTCTCTGTATGCTGACAAACTGATAATTTTCAGGTCTTGTTAGTTTTAAAGAAAACATAAGTATTACATGCTCGAAGAGTAGGTTGAGAGGATGATATTTCGGTTTTGTGTTTTCTTGTTTGGCTAGTTTTTTATTTGATTTGAATATGTATACGATAGTATAACACAATCTTTGCTATTTCTTTTCATTTAAATTTTTTTTGGACTAGATTATTATGTGATATTTGGAAGACCAAAATATCATAGCTCAAATGTTTGGATCCTTTGTACTTGAAAATTGAAATGCTAGCTATAATGAAACGTAGAGAAGACTGGTAAAACATATTCTCCTTTTATATTTTCTTAATGTGATTAAATAAATGCTCCTTGAATGATTTGAAAGATACCATTATTTGGTCTGGAAGCATAATATCCTTTCTCAAAGCTGTTGGACCACTTGGTTAATGAACTAAAGGACTTTAACTGATTACTAGAATAGAACCAAATGGTGCTATTGGTTCTACTTCGATCATAGTAGTGGAATATCCTGATTTACTAGAATAGAATACCAATATTATGGGAGCTATTTTGGTATTGCATGTACACACAAGTGCAAATTATTTGTATTATTTGATATGAAGACGAGAGATTTACTTGAAGACGAGGATAGAATAGAACCAAATGGTGCACACATGCTTTCTCATTGGAATATAATATATCTAATACTTAGGGTTCTAATATAGACATACGGATGCAATATTGTTTAATAGCCTTTTGTTCATCTAATATTTTTATCAGTGTCACAGAGTGTATGGTTTCTAGTATCTTAAGCTAGGTGATAGTGTTGTTTAATAGCCTTATGTTCATCTGATAATTTTATCATCTTGAATCTTGATGACACTGATTTTTCTTGGTACCAAAGAAGGATTGATTAAGTGTTGCAGATAGGAATGATTTGTCAATAGAGCCCTCAACTCAAATTGTCCCTTTGGAGAAGGTATTTGTAAGCTACAAGCTCTTTTCCTCATTTTGAATATATGTTACTGATGGATAGGTGTACCCGGGGGGTATCTATCCGAGGGGTTACTGCGGGGAGTAACTAGATAGAAGTCAGAGCAAGTAAGAGAGAGAAAGTGTATTGAATATGTAAGTTAAGGCTTTTGAGCGTGGTTTACAACGGGGAAATTGGGTGCTATTTATAGTAGCAATAAATGCCAGATAGGGACACATGTCAAGCATCCATTGGCCGAGGGGTCACCTCAACTGGTTGGCGCTGGCAATTGCATGTGGCCGCATTTAATGCGGCTGTTGGCTGGGACGTCGTACTTGGTACGGTGATCCCTGCGTATGTGGAGCGGATATCATGTCGGAAAAGGTGCCCTCGGCCGTAGATGATTAGCCGAGGGCTCTGAGTACCGGGGACCTCCTTAGTGCCGAGGGCTCTAGGTGCCAAGGGCTACTGATTTTCGTCGTTTTCTCCCAGTAACTTTGTTTTCTTGATTTGGCCATCCTGTGAGAATTGGAGCCTTCGGCCAGGGGGGCGAAGGCACCCCTAGTGTGCCACGTGGGTTGTTTAGTACTTGGGGCGTCGTGATTTGGGTCTGCTGTGCTTCTTGGGCCTATTGGGCCTCCATTAGAATAGTAGGAGTCTATGGCCCGGGGGTTCCTAGGCCATATACTCCATCAGGAGTCCCTCACTCCTTTTGTCGAAAGGTACTTGAGGGAAAAGGAGTAATTGTGTTTGTCCTCTGCTGTTGTTCCGTTGTAGATTGTAGAGTTGTGAGTAGTTTGCTGTTTGTTTATTCTGCCGAGGGCAGTCCCTCAGTTACCCACATGTCGGGACTTGAGGGGTCATGTTTGCTGTTTGTAGGAGTTTTTAACATTTTGCAATTTTTGTGATTTTTCCCGAGGGGGTTCTCCAGTCCCCCACTCCTTGAGGCACTTGCAAAGTGGTGAAAAGGAGTAGAGTAATCATGTTGCTGTATTGGGCCGAAGGCTGACGCTTTTCGTTTCATTTTGGGGGATGCCTCGTTAAAAACCTCATTAGGAAAAACCCTGTGGGAAAAAAATCCTAATGAGAGAAAAAGAGTGAACCGAATTCCCCCAACGATGAATCGAAAATGTGAAGCCCTGGTTTGAAATGGAGTACAATGCTGGTGCTGAAG